TGCGAAAGAGGATTGCACAGCAGCCCTAGATAACAGTCTGTCTGTCGATGTGATATTCATAGATTTCAGCGAAGCATTTGACAAGTTTCACACGTAGGTTTTAAGCAGACGCTCACGAGCTTCGGAATAATAGGTACTGTACATGAATGGATAGGAAATTTATTATGTGACCGCGGACAGAGAGTGAGGGTCAACGGAACGCTGTACGATTGGAAGCCGGTCAAAAGTGGTGTGCCCCAAGGCGCCATCTTAGGCCCTCAGATCGTCTGAGATACTGCTGTTGTTTAGGTCGTCAACATTATTATTTGCGGATGATGTAAAAATCTGGAGAACAATAAAAAGTTCGACTGATCAACTGGATCTTCAAGCTGACTTAGACGATTTAGTTAGATGGGCTCGACAGTGAGGCTTAGAAATCAATGCTATCAAGAGTGCGCTATTGCACATTGGTCGCAGTAATAGTTACCATTATACTGTTGAGGGTAAACCTCTTCCATGAGTTCAAGAGCATAAAGACTTGGGAGTAGTATTAAGTCATGATTTAAAAATAACTATGCATTGCAAAGCAACCGCTGTCAAAGATTTTCGTGCGTTTGGTCACTTCGACGAGCGTTCAAATCTTTTGACGAGGAAACGTTTCGAATTTTATATCACACCTACATAAGACCACATTTAGAGTACTGTATCCAAGCAACTAGCTCGTGTCTGGTAAAGGATACTAACTCGCTTAAGGGTGTCCATGGTGTGGAAACAAAATTAATGAAGGGTCTTTCTAAACTCTTTTACGATGAGTGTTTGAAACGCCTAAACCTTTCCGCTTCGTCGTATCGTAGGACGCGAGGTGACCTTACACTAGCATTTTGTATCTTTATTCATTATTTGGGTGTTAATATGTCTTATCTTTTTGCTCCCTCCAGAACTAATAATCTCCGAGGTTATAGCAAGAAGGTTCACAAACCGCCATCTAGTAAATTTAAAGTAGGGTCCCGTTTTTCTCAACGAGTGGTAAATGATTGGAACGCCTTGCCCGAACAATTGGTATCAGCTGCATCAAAGAATATTTTCAAGGAGAAGCTGGATCTTCACTGAAAAGTAATGTGTCAAGATTAGTACAGGCTCACCAATTTACTATTCTTATTACTGAAGACTGAAGAATGAAGACTGAAAAACGTATATATTTCGACAATCAAATAATGCGGTTCTGTTACAAAAGGGGAAGCTTATTTACAAAATAGTTTCACACTTCATTTTGCATGTTTAGTCCATGCAATGCATGTTCTTCTTCACCCGGAACATTTACTTTTTGTCAATCAGCATTGAAAAGGTTCACGTCGATAACATTACATAGGCTGGCATTTGATACTATTACACACGAGACACTTTTCTCTGCTTAATTGCGAATATGAGTGTGTCATTTTTCGTAAAATACTTAAAAACAATTTATGTTAGGCGGTGTTTTGACGAACTGGGTATCTAAATACACCGTCGTTAAGTCTGGTTTCGACTGAACAAGGTGTTCTGTTCTAATATCATCCCAAGATATCTGAAAGTTATGTAAGACGAAGGTGGTGGGAGAACGGACGGACATAATTTCGTGATGCACTCGCCAAAGATGGTGGGACTTGCTGCATGTGAAGCCACAGAGCGTGGTTTCGCTCCTACGTTTTGTGTTGGATCTGAGCATATGTATGCGTTCAAATTTAGAGTGACTATACAATAATTGGTAGACATAGAGCGAGTTGAGGCTCCCTTCATATGGTTTGAGTTTGCGTTGCGAATCGTTGATTCTATTAATTATGGACTACCTTTTTGCGACGCCAAAGTGACCTTGAGAATGGACACCTAAGTACTAAAGCCAAATGGGGGTTATCAACCAGTATGTGGGATTGGGGCTGTGATCTACAGATGTTGATTAGTGTCAGGAATTAGATTTACGGTTTTTACCACGAACTGACACAAGCTAACATGCCAGAATTCTAGCTGAACAAATAGATGACTGTATTTCACGCAAACATTTGCGACCTGCCCTGTTAAACCTGTTTGGTCGTTCCATAAATTACGGTCTCACCCATCGTGTTCCCATATTCTAAATGATCTTCAGTAAGACTGCTAAAGATCGAACGAAATTTTTGCAATAAAACTGGTCAAAATTTGGTTTCATAACTACCGATGTGAGATTCATTCGGAAGGTAGTTTTGTCTCAGTTAGCCTAAGATTTCAAATCACAGAGTACCAACACTCCTTGGTACCTCCAAACTTGGAATATTACTAGATTTGAGTTATTAAGTTGGATGCGTAGCACACAATATATTCCAGACCGGCTACTTTACAGTTTATAATGTTGATGGTCATTCATTTGTAAGCCGTTTAACTTTGAAGTCAAATCTCCGTGAAGTAACAGACCATCATCTTTGTTACAAAGCTTCTAAACAATGTTTTATATCACCTACTAAGTGTAATAATAATAATAATAATAATAATAATTAAGAGCGCCGGGCGTGGGTTCGGCAACAACGACCACAAAGAAAACAACATTTCAAGAAACAGCCAGATTAAAGGCTTAAATCACCTAAACTCAGCCTTGGGAGTTGAGGATGTGTTGTGACACTTCAGGATGGAATCCAACATTCTTCGGAAGTCGGACGTTGCCTCTTACAACAACCAGAACAACAGTCAACATAGGTGGATCGAAGATCCGGACAATGTGACAGACCGGGATGATCAGTCAAAGTGCCACGGGATTGAGGAGATACAGATTGGCAGTGCTAGGAATCAGCGAGACTTATTGGACAGAAAGGGCTAGATACGGGAGAGATGCTTCTGTTCTCCAGTCACGAGGGACGAATGGCGCCCTACACTCAGATGTTGTCCAGAGAAGCACGAAGTGAACTTGTGGGATGGGAATCTCACGGATCCAGAATCATCAAAGCATCAATCCTTACAAATTAGGAGGGAATCACGATGAATGTCATCCAAAGTTATGCAACCAACAATGATAGTATAAAAAGATGATAAAGAACAGTTTTACGAGAGGATTCAATCAACCACAGCGAAGTTACCAATTAAGTACCTGACCATCTAGATGAGAGATATAAACGCCAGAGTCGGAATGGACAACACGGGGCATGAAAATATCATATGACTACATGAACTATGGAGACCAACGAAAGAGGGACAAATTTGCAAATCTATGCGCATTCAACAAATTGGCTATGGGTGGCACAATATTCTCATACAAACACATACACAAAGCTACATGGATCTCACCGTACCACATTACAGAGAACCAGGTAGGTCATGTTTGCATCAATAAAAAGTTACGAAGGACGATGGAAGATGTGAGAACCAATGGAGGGGTTGTCATAGTTTCAGATTACCACCTAGTTGTGGCCGAGGTGAAGCAAAAGCTAAAAAGAAACTGGACAACTGGTTGAAGAGCATTACAAATCTTCAATACAGCCAACGAACGAGATGCCAGCAAACTCAACAAATTCAAGACAGCTCTTAGCAACATATTCCAAGCCTTGCAAGATCTACTCAACGGAAAAGAAACTAGCAAAGAGGACCAGTGGAAAATTATCAAAGAATTAAATTCAATATTTTATTAGATGGTGGGCCGCAAGCAGCATCATCACAACGAATGGATCTCTACAGCAACCCTGAACAAAATTCAAGAAAGGAAGAACAAGAAAACAGCAATTAACAACAGCCGAACACAAGCAGAGAAAGTCAAGGCAAAACCTCAGTACACAGAAGCAAACAAGTAAGTGAAGAAGAGCATTTAATCTGACAACCAGAAATACGAGGAACAACTAGCGACGACGGCAGAACACGCTCCAAGAGAACGAAACATGAAACAAAAATATATGATGCAGCGAAGAAACTAGCAGGGAGGCAGGCCAGTCACTGAAATTCAACAACAGCGGAACAGATGGGTAGAGTATTTTGAGGAACTTGTGAATAGACTAGCTCCAGTGAATCCAATGGACAACGAAGCAAGAAACACAGATATTTCCATAGCTGTCACTCCATCAACGATCGAAGAGATCAGGATAGCCATCAGACAAATCAAGAGTAGGAAAGCAGCATCACCTGACAATATACCAGCTGGATTTCTGAAGTCAGACATTGAAGTAACTTCAAAAATAATTCATGTTCTATTCAAGATTTGGGAGGAGGAACAAGTGCCGACGGACTGGAAAGAAGGACACATCATCAAGATACTGAAAAAGGAAATCTGGGAAAAGTGAGAAATACAGGGTCTTCACATTGCTGTCAGCAATAGGAAACGTTTTGAACAAAGCAAGGGCGGCATTCCGCATTCTCACGGTTGAAGAACACATGGAACTAGAGACAACCGCCAATCAATATCAGGGAATCTTCAATACGAACATCAAGACGGTTCTTCAATCCGAAGCTGAAACTTGGACAACTGACACAACCATCATCAAAACATATGTGTTTGTTAACAAATGTGAACTGAAGATACTCCAGAACTGTTCGCCGTAAAGCATCAGAAACAGCCCACAGTGAGAGGGGACAAACCAGCTTACAGCTTAAGAGGAAATTAGGCAAAACTTTGGAAGTGGATAGAACATGCATTCAGGAAATCATTAAAATTCATCCCGAGGTAAGCTGTGATTGGATCAATCGACCACGCTTCAGTAACGGACTAGAACAGAACTTGGACGTAACAGTAAGCGCGACCATTAACGATGACTTCATAGCTGACAGTTCGAGCTAATTGACCAGAACAATATAACCGCCCTACCAAAATCTTTTGAGAAGTCAAGGTACGCAGCACCAGTCTAGCGATTAAGGGTGGTTTTCCATCTCTCCACTGAGGTCAGTAGATTAGTTATACGGTAGTGACTTCCTGAAACCGTACTATTGAGAAGAAAAAAGTTTAAGAATAATAGGTGGTGACACAAACCACCGTATAATAAAATGTCCAAGACTTTCGAGTGTAGTCAAAATTCGTGCTTCGAATGTTGGACATTGGAAAAGTAGAGTGGTTGGTATGACAACAGTAATCTGTGTATTTTGACTCAATGGAATTTTCAAAGCAAATTCCTAACAACGAGGAAAATTTGAATTCATATATTGTAAAGCCACAATTTGATCAGAAATTCCGCCCCTGGGCAGTAAGAAACATCATTTCTCAGTTACTAAAGGAACGGCTGGAGAGGGAAGTATACTCTCCTGAGAACACTCATGGTAAGTCATAAAATCTTTTTACAGTTATCTGCAGAAAAGTGCATTTCCCTGGCTGATGAAATCAAACGCTTATTAAGGAAAAATCTATCTTTGAGACGTTATAGATACTTGGTCCAAGTCATCATTGGCGAAAAGAAAGGTCAGGGAGTGAAAATGGCACGCCGCTGCTATTGGGACTCTGATACTGATAACTGTGCAGATGCTTCATTTGTAAATGATTCGTTGTTCTGTGTTGCCTCGGTTTTTGGTGTTTATAGCTACTAAGTATATGAGTGTTGCACTTCAAAAAGTGTCTTAAAATATTTTACGAATTTCCAATTAGGCATTAATGATTTTTTTAAAAAGAGAATACCGGTAATTTCGTAAGTCATAATATAAGGGTGAAAAATATGTCCTTAGTGATAAGTGTCTTCCACCAAAAAGCAAGTAACAGGGTCGAGCCAATAAACACCAACGAACATATCCTCAATATGAACATTGAAGCATTTGCCTCTCAGCACAATTGAATATCTATGGATGATGTTCATGTCGCAGATTTTTAAATATAAACCGCTTCAACAAATGTGAAATATATATTACAGAAATGTTAGTTCAATGTCACTATTCATTGCCAGTTGTTGATGGTTCCTTGCTAAGAACCTCCTCCGAAAAGCTAGGCGGTCGGATGTAGTAATAGTGGCCGGTGACTTTAATGCCCAAGTAGGTAAACTAAGCGATAGGGAAAGACACCTGGGTGGATCTTATAGTGTCGTGGCTCAAAGAACAGTTAATGACGACCGTCCGTTGCAACTATGCCCAGATAACCGCCTCTTTCTTGAAAATACTAACTTTAAGCATAATATAGTGTCTAAAATATTAGCTGCAATAATACTTCGACGCCTAACCAAAGCTCGTGAAGAGCAGACTAGAGAAAATCAGGCTGGTTTTCAACCTGAACGTGGTTGTGTAGATCAGATATTCACATTACGTCAGGTTCTAGAACACAAACACGTTCAGACGCCCCACAATGGTATTATTTCTTGACCTTAAGGCGGCATTCGACTCTGTTGATCGTAAGGTTCTATGGCAGTGTTTGTCACTGAAAATAGTACCAAAGAAGTACACTAACCTTACTCAGGCTCTCTAGTCGAACACAACTGGTAGAGTGAGATCTTATGGCGAACTGTCATCAGAATTGATTACCTCAAGTGGTGTTCGTCAGGGCTGTCCACTCTCTCCTTTCTTGTTCAACTTTGTCATTGATGTACTTTTAGAGATGACACTTTCCTCGTCTAGATTTCCAGGGGTTGAACTTCTACCAGGAGGTTCACTTGTTGACTTAGAATATGCCGATGACATAGTTTTATTTGATGAAGTCGCTGACAAAATGCAGAGTCTTCTGACCACTCTAAGCAACAATGCAAGCATGTTCGGGATGCGACTCTCCACCTCGAAATGCAAAATGTTGCTTCAGGATTGGGTTGCATTGACACCCGAACTAATGATAGGGAGTGAAGTAATTGAGCGTGTCGATCGCTTCACTTATCTTGGAAGTCTCATCAGCCCTTGTGGTCTGTTGTGTGACGAAATTTCAGCACGGATACAGAAGGCTCGACTAGCTTTTACCAACTTGCGTCATTTATGGCGTAGGCGAGATATCCGTCTATCAGCCAAAGGATGGGTTTACTGCGCAGCAGTTCGTTCCGTCCTGCTTTATGGTAGTAAAACATGACCGGTAAAAGTAGAGGATATTCGTAGGTTACTAGTATTTGACCATAGGTGTCTTCGAAATATTGCTCGTATATCATGGGACCATGGAGTAAGTAACGCAGTTGTTAAGAAACGGGTACTAGGTAAGAATGGCAAATCAATTGATGAAGTGGTGAAACTTCATCAGTTGAGATGGCTAGGACACGTGTTACGTATGCCCAACGACCGACTGCCTCGACGTGCGATGTTCAGTGGTATAGGAGTAGGTTGGAAGAAAGCTAGGAGTGGCCAAACCAAAACATGGCACAAGTCTATGAAGTCACTGACAAGTGGTCTGAGTCATGTCGGTAGGTGTAGACTACCTGGTTGGGGACCGCGAGATGATAGCAACCGATGGTTAGAGACCCTGAATGACATGCCTCAAAATCGTTTGCAATGGCGCAGGTGCGTACACTCTTTATGTTCTCCCAAATTTTGATCTCCTAATTCCTCCTTGAATCTTTTTTTTCTTTCCCTAAATTCATTTCACTGTATTCTACTCTTTAAATAACATCTTCAAACACTAATCTTTCCGATTACTGCTTATACTCTTTTTACCTCTACCACGGGATATGAATTGGCCACTGCATCTCTGTGCTAATGTGGTGTGGCAACTTGAACTGATGTACGTACTGATTGACTGACTAGTAGAAAGGTTTAATCAACTGATTTAGGATAAATTGACCATTATAATAGGTCTATTTGAAAACAAGCTAAAAATTTTTAGTAAACCAACTTATAGTTAGCTATCTGCGACGTGGAACCCGGCAAGTATGTACATCAATCCAAATTGTCACATTCCACTAGTACAGAGAGATGAATTTTTTCACATGTCAAATCTTTGAATAGCAGATGCAGTAACGGTATCAGTATTAGTACAAAAGATTAGGCGCAAAAATATAGTTCGAGAATGAAGAAGAATATACGACATATACAATTATGAGGTTATTTTGAGACCCATGACCTCAGAAAAGACAAAAGGTGATTGAGTCTACGTTACTGAGCTTAATTATGAGTCATGTCATTAAAGTCTCTAAACATGAGTTACAGTAGTTGTAGGAACCGTAACCAGGTAATTTGTACTAATAAATAAGTCTCAGCGGCCATACCAACTGGTGCCACGTTTCAGATTAGTTACTCCTAGCTTTATCCCAACATACTGTTATGCCGAAAGACATAGCCTATCGGGGAACGTGATAGCTTGCCATATGTATCACATGCTTTAACCTCATCCAAAGATGGCGATCCACGACCTTGTTGGCTGACTGGCCATATTTAATCAATATCCTGTGTTCATTCCCTAAATTTATCATTCATTTCTCGGTACATAAAAAATTTTTCGAATCCACCTATAATCAAAAGCCATCAACCTAATCATACCTTCTCCCTTCATAGGCCGTGTTTCATTCGTCGTTTGGTTATCAAACGAAATCACGCTCACACCAAAAGTGATACAGATTGGCAAAAGCCAGGTGGGATTTCTGGGTCATTTCCGACAAGTTTCCTGAGATAAACTCATGAGGGATGTAGGAATTTGCAAGATGGGTTGGTCGATTGAACCAAACACTAATACCTATCATTAATTTGGGCGTTGACGCTGACACTAAAGGGCTGCTTTTTTGTCTGCACACACTTTTATTACCAATGAGTAAATATGCAGTGGTGTTTTTCCGTCAGATTAGTGACTGACGTGTTTTGTAAGACTGGCATATTTTTTGTGAGCGTTTAAAATCGTTTATGCTAACAAAATATATATCCTATGCATAGATATGTTCGTAACTCGAATATATCTACTTATATGATCTGCGATGGATCTCATTATCTACATCTTTTTTTTCTCATCACCTGTAGTCACTATTCACAAAGAGTAATTAATGAAATTAGTATATTCATGCTTTCATAAGATGAAAAATCTGAAAATAATAAGTAATTTGGGAAATCCTTTGATTCCAGTTCACCGAAGTTGATCACCCTAAACAACTTTGTTTTAAAAAATAAATATGCCGTCATGAGTGACATGTTTTACAAATTTCAGTGACAAAGTGATGCTAAATAAGTAGGGTAGTTTCTAGTACATGAATAAAATCTCAACTTTAAGAGTGGATGGTTATTCATTTAGAGTTATTATTATAATTTAAACACATAAATATTGGTACAAGGAGGCACCGAATACATATGCGCCACATTTCACCATCTGATTTGTGTGAGGACTTGAATACTACATGGTTCATGAGAATCATTTAAGCATACTAAGTTTTTAATAGTTGATATCAAATGTCAAGTCAGAGTTTCATGGATCACAGTAGGTCTACATCAAGTAGGTTAACATAAAAGATCAGCTGAAATCAAATATAAGTGATTGTTATCCATAAATATAAAGAAGTTTCTAAGACTTAACGAGCACTTTGTATTGGACTACCTTTATAATAATACAGGATAAAAGGCTAGAGCCAATCTAGAAAACATGAAGGAAAAATCTGATGAGCTTAATAAGCAGAAAATGGAATGGTTACACAGGTCTAGATTTGTTTTCAAAATTATCTGTGAAAGTCCACCATTCCTGTTGTCTAAGCAGACATGTTAATCCCAAATCAAGTGGAATAATTTCATTTTCACAAGTTATAAGATAGTCAACTATGAAGATTTCAGTTAATAGTTGGATGAACTTTTCCATACACTACAACTAATTAGATTTGTACAAACTTTCGGGTACTTTTTGGGTATCTTTATATTAACAGTGAGCTGAATACAATGCAACAATAAGTGCAATACTCTTTTGGCCCTTTCACCGCCATCCAGCCAGGTAACTCCAGGACTGAAGATCTTAGTTAACGTAGACCAAAAATGACTATGTATCTACGACGCATTTATCATTATCGCCACGTTGTAAGAATAATATTATCTCCTATTTCTATTTTCCTGTATTCCATACATTTTAAAATGTATTTCCTGTGTTTTTAGTCTGATAATTTAAAAAGCCTTTACCTATAATAATGATAACCTCTACCAAAAAGTGACAGATTTCTGGACACAAAATACGTGTTCCGACGAATCCCACTTACAACTAAGATTTTTTGGTTGCATATTTATGCTAGGGCATATTTGAGCATTTAAATCTCTGCATTTTGGTACATTTTGATGTACCTGTTCCTTATGTAGCCTATATATAGACAAGAAGTTGTACCAAATACTATTGCGTCATGGCTAATTTTTCATGATACATTGTAAGCTTTTGATAAGAGATTGTGACTGAATAATGAAGTAAAGAAAACCTTCTAGGCACTTACAATACATCAAACATAGCATGATATCTTGAAATATTTGACAAATTGAAAATACAGTGACTTAGAGATCGAATTAGGCCACTAGGTCCACTACAGCTGTTATTATTTTGACCTATTAGTTATTTGTGCACTGTGGTTAATTGAACTGATACACATTTCTATGAGGACACGTCACTCAAAACTGTACTAGGGATATTTAGCTTAAAAAAAAACCAGTATTCACTTAATTACAGAATACTTTTCTATCGAACCAATAAAATTCTATCAGCATATCGAGCTAATTCAGTTCTCATTACAATTATAGGAGTGTCAATAAACTTAAAAAAACCCTTAATATAAAAATATTAGGAAGTACATCATGTAGATAGGAGATTTAAATTACTATGTATCTACAAGGTCGTTTGCATCTACTTCAGTCAACATTATTCACAACTTGGAAAATAATATACAATATGTTTTTACATTATATTTCATGGTATTTATAATATAGAAAATGTGTGGTGTGTGTTACTTATATCGACATAAGTAGTATATGGTGTTATTTAGGAAAAGAATCACTGGAAGCAGAGAGACAAGAGGATCGAACAGTGAATAATGGGAACAGGATGCAGTTTGTATGAAAATGCAAGAACAATGAAGTCTTAGTCATTGTGAGACAATTGATGGACATTTTGCAACTTACGTATTTACTATTTGACTGTTGGATTTTATTAACAAGTCCTGTGATTTTGTGTCAAATACATTCGATTGTCCCCACCCGTGTTCTATTCACTACACATGTTGTATACATCTCGAAGTATGTGGAACTAATAAGATTTGTGGAAAATGTACAGGTTAAAAATGATGATAACAAACTCCAAATCTGAAGTTTGTGCTGATGATGTCGTTCAGAAGAACAATGAAAGCTCCACGACCAAACCATCCAGCTCATAGAACAAAACTCCAAATTCGCCTTTTCTATGAGGTTTACAGAAATAAACAAATTCATATCTGGTGTTAAATAATATATTTACCGGTGATTAAGTGTATGATGTAATATATTTTCATAGCAAGATCAATCATTTGTCGTTTTCATCAGAATTCTGTCAAAAAAAAGAGAATTAATATCTAACGCATTGCTTTTAACATTCAATTTTATGGAGACTGATGACATTGATGGTTCAGCTATTGATTTTTATAAATTTTGAATATTTCCTAACTGAGAAGGAGCCTGTGAATATAGAAACTATATATGACGGACGTTTCATGCCGTATGGTCGAAATCTTAGCTTTAAATCAAAACTATTTTTCAATGCTTCAATAAAACTTGCAGAATAAGTACTTAATTGTCCCACTGAAAGGGAGAAAAACTTTTGTCGAGCAAGACTGTACCCCATATTTTCAGCGTTTTGTTGTTGTTGCAAAAGCTGGACAATTCTAACTGACCTACATGGTTCAGATTTGGAATCAGTCATTGGCTATTCAATGCCATGTTATATTGACTATTCTTAAACATTGCGTATATTACACTTGTTCTAAGTAGCATAATAAAAAAATACAATTTAAAAACTGTTCAAAATCTGGTTAGGTTTAGATATAAAGCAATACCTGGAAAGTTATACAGTGGTGATGATTAAAAACAGGTATACAGTTGAAAAATGAAACACTGTCCTGTAGAAAAATAACATTATGTATTTCGATAGGTAAAAATTAGGTTAATTTGAAAAATCCATGCTTAGTATTTGCATAGTGATGATCATAGTAAACGATAAGAACTAGTAATCATTACTAATGTGATGGCATGTACTTTAGAATGTCAATAAAGTGGACATTAGAAACATCACTTAGTTCAATATTCAGTCCACTTTCTACGTACTTTATGAAACATACTACGATCTTAATAGAATACCCGAAAACAATACATTGTTTATTGAAATGCTAACAGTACTAGAAGTTTTAACAATGTCAATAAGAATCTTCATAAAGCATGTAAATATTTTAATAAAACTTCTTTAACACAATAATAATGTTGACAGGGTTTACTATAAACATCCAGAATTTACAATATATCGCATAACGAAAGAATAAAAGTACAAACACCGCGTATCTACGTTTTTCTAGACTATTCTAATTAAAAATCTCAGATAGTTACCCACATCATTCCTATTAACGAATTCATTGGACACGGAGAGTCCACTTAAGGAAGTTGGAAAACCCTGATTTCAAATCAATGGTGAACATAGGCTCCAGTATCTTGAAGGAAGAAATGGCACATGAACCCATTGTTAGTCACCAGCTACCATGGGACTGTATCTCCTTACGTTGCTCCACCACCTTGTGCATTGGACATCTAGATCAAATGCTCGGGGAGTAGCCCCCTAAGAAAATCATCTGCTTCAGTTTGTGCACCCGGGCAGTTTCCTAGCCCTCAAACAAATCGAATGATTTATGGAGCTCATATCAATTCGTTGCCCCTTTCTATCAATATTCATGGGTTTATAAAAATAAATAAATATCAATCCATAATATATTTGTAGAAGAAAACCATATACGGAGAGATCTTTAAAAATTAATATCCGAAATATTACTTCATTGAAACAAAAAGAAAATCAATATTACATAAATGCACAATGGATCTAATAAAATTAGGGTTTTATCTCCACAATAGAAAAAAAAATTTAAAAAAATCAAAAGTCATCAAGATAAAGAATAAATAACTAAGCTACAAGGGACTACAAATTCTTTCTTTATTTGAAAGAATAAAAGAAAAGGAAAATACCAAGTCAGTCAAATACATATTAAGCTTGTTTTTTGTTCTTTTTATTCAAGAAGTAATAGGGGATGCATACATGCATACAATCAAATCATAATGAGAAATAAACGAGAGAAGAAAGAAACCAAACACCTAAAAGATAACAAAACATTTCTAGTATAACTGGGAAAATTATAATTATCAATAAAGGTATTATTATCATAAATGAATGGATTTGTTTCATAGTAAAGGATAAGGAATTGAGATCTAGGATTTACGTAGAAATTGTTTACTTGTAATATTTTACCTAATACAAAATTCAAATGAACAATTTCATATGATTGATCAGAGATAGATTAATAATTACATATCCTTATTTTAATATACAATCATTCGAAAAAATGAAAAAAGAGAGAAAGAAAAGGAAGCCAAACCTAATCCAACTACATCAAGATTTTAAATGTTGTCATGGTGTACAAATTATAAAATGCATTGTTTTGTAGAGAGAAAAAAAAAGAAAAACTATAATATGAGATGCAAAAATTGGAGTTATTTCATTTTTAACTACTTATTTTGACAAATAAGTAGTAAAATTGTAACAATAAATATTTCCTAGATAATTATGTGGTTGCACTTAATACAGCTCGCATTGCTAATGTTTGTAATTGACAGATAGCAACATAATTTGACGGTAAATCAGAATCTGTTTCATCACGAATTATATCCTCACAATTTGTACTGTTATTACTAGATACAGTATGTCCAGAAAAATGATTATGACAAGGAGATTCTATTAAATGTGAATGTAAAGTGTCTGTAAGAGTCCCGTAAATATGTGAAGAATAATTATCATTGAGATTACTGTGACTATTATTATTATTATTGTTACTGGCATGAGCAACAGTGTTGTTCATACTGCAACTTTTCTGATTGCGACTGGAACCGGTATGTGTATTATCCATATCGTGGATATTGTTATTCCAACGAACAGTATTCATATCGGGATAACTTTCATTCCTGTAATGGGATGTTTCTGGAGTGATGATACCAAAATCTAATGTTGCATAGTGCAGCATACTTGTAGGCTTTTCAAAATTATTAAGACAGCCTAAGTTACCTATCCTACATGGAACAGTGGTAGTGGTAGATGTTGTTATTGAGGGAGAAGTAGTAGTAGCAGCAGTAGTAGTATTAGTAGTAGTAACAGAAATATTAGTACTTATTGTTACAGACGATGATGCTACCGATGGTGAGGGTTGATTACGGGCAGTCTGATTAGGTGATTCTTTTGAATATGAACTGCAATATGATATACGATTTATATTATCCCCTGAAACGGGATGATTTGCAGAAGATGAAGATGTACAGTTGGATGTGAAATCAGTAGGTAAACACGAAACACTAGATGAATGAATACACTTTTGATTATTTTCTCCAGGTAGCGATGAAGTAATTGTTTGAGAAGTGCACAGACCAGTACACTGAATTTGAGTTAAAGTCTGACATAAAAAATAAAAAGTCCATCGTGAATAAATAAAACTTTACAAATATCAGCACTTATTTATTAGTTAAACTAAAATATAGTTTAACACATTAACACAGTGTGACGGGAGCCAATAGTTAGGACACAATTGGAAGCACATTTATCCCTCGATAGTTGTTGCAGAAACGATGTGAATTCTATTAAAAGATAGGAACAACTATTGACTCATTCCACGATGTTGAAACACTTCCACTATGGACAACTTAGTTCCTTAACCTGAAAACGTAGTGATAAAAATTCTATCCTATAATTGTGAGTAGTAATGAGTAATAAATCTAAGTCAATGGACAATGTAATGTAAAGATCCTCCAAACAAGTGATGAATGTACTATTAAAACGAATTATTAATCAATATTTAGACAGGTTGCCTAGGGAGGTTAGATGAACAATTAGATGATTCTACATCACAAAAAAAAAGATAGGAACTCTTTTGTGCAAGCAGAGAATGGGTGACGCTAGCTGTTAAAAACAGAAGGACCTCCATTACATTGACCACAGAATAACCAACTACAGCTGATAAAACGATAGAAATAAGTAGTTGTTGCATTCAATTGCTTTTCTGTTTTTTGCCAAGTTATCAACCCAACAATTCATGAAGGAATATTTCATATTTCTAGTCGTGTACGAAAAATCTATCTTATATATTCTTTTCAAGCCATTCACGTTATTAAGCATAAAATGTGCTTGGTTCGTTTTCAATAGTAGGTATGCTCGAAACACTGAATATGTCTAATGGTATCGATGAAAAGCGATTCAAACTGTAATACATCTTGCAAGATTTCAGGTTCGGATACTGTAACACTAAAATTAGAACCTTCGGATGATGTAATTGAAAATCGATTGACAGCTGTAGGTCAAATAATTATTTATTCTCTACTAGATGTTCATTAATGCATCATCTCATATTTTATGTGACACGAAGTTATTTACTACATCTAAAGCCGACCGTTGTTGCTACCTTGATGTGGTGATGGTGCTCGTCTATCGTGATGAACCAATCGAGCTATACTGACTGGAACAATCGTTTCTCGCGATCACACCATGCCAGACAGGTCGTTTGATGAGCGGTAAGACTGAAAGCAACAAACCCAAGGTCCGAGGGTGACGTCGTACTGCTGACTGTACAGAGATGTGAAGGCAGTAAGGTGTTTCCTTCAGACAACCAGCATGACAGCGATGCTACCTTCCCACAAGGAGGGGTGGGGTTAGAAAAGGTCGACCCTAAAAATACACACCTCGCCTTATCCCAATGATATCCGTCTCCGGCGGTAAGGTCTCAACAAGTACAGAGCTAACACGAAAATTACCCATAAAAAGGTCGTGTGTGACCGACCTCAAGCGGTTGTCACTTGGGCACTGCGGTCACGCTCTCAGGTCACTAAGACCACCTTTAATCCAATTTCCTTTTCAGGTACCTCCAGAACAACCCTTCCACGGTGTGGGCAACCGGGAAGTGATAACCGCCCTCATACCTCTAACAGCATTCAAGATTACTGTATTCATAATCAACCTCCGTATTCACTTCCTATTATTCCTCCTACGTCGACTTCCACCTGTAAACTTCCTTTTTCGGCTTCCCTCTCAAGTGTCACCATAGCCAACGATTCTAGTGCTCAAAACACTGTCCAGGTCTACTGAAACCTTGCTACAAACTACACATTGGAGCCTTCAATGTACGCACTCTATGTCAAATCGGTCAACATGCTTCCTTAGCTAGGACCCTAGGATCTCGTACCATTGATGTTTGCTGTCTCTGAAACACGCATACAGGATCCCAGTATGGTCATTCGCTTGACCTCACCTCGGCAAAACGGAGAGCCAACGAGATACATCCTCCGTGTACCTGGTGACCCGACAGCAAGCTCTCGTGGACTGGCAGGAGTAGGGATAGCACTAGGCATGAGGGCGGAACAAGCACTGTTAGACTGGATCCCCGTTAACAGTCGTTTATGTGCTGTTCGGCCAAACGGCTCCGTAAGAAGTCGGAAGGATAGAGACACACGTCGTTGCCTTTTTGTCGTTTCTGCTTACGCTTCTACCGACTGTAGCTCAGATGAATTGAAAGATGAATGTTACAGAAAGCTATCTGAACTTCTTTAGAAAGCTAAACGTTTAGACATAGTACTCGTAGCAGGTGATTTTAATGCCCAGATAGGTAGTTTAAACCAAACAGAAAGGCATTTAGGTGGGTATTTCAGTATTTTGGCTCAGCGAACAGATAATGGTGATCGTGTGCTGCAACTGTGCTCAGACAATCGTTTATTTTTGGCAAACACACATTTTAAGCATAAGGACAGATATGGCGACCCCCTACACCAAACCAACATTGGACTCAAATAGACCATATTGCCATCAGTCATCGTTGGAGAGGGTCGGTAGAAGATTGTCGCTCATTCTGGAGTACCTGCTTGGACTCCGACCATGCCCCAATACGGGCACGCGTCTGCTTGCGCCTCACTGGACGCAAAAAAGCCTCACTAAAAAGACCCATTAGAACTGAATTGAGTAGCGAGGAAACCAAAAGTAGGTTCCAGGAACAACTGAGGTCACACTTAGGTAGTTCTGAAGACGAGGCTGACCCAGATGTTGCTTGGAAAGGCATACAATCAGCTGTGGAAACAGCAGTGACATCTATTAGTGATTTAAACCACAGGGTTACAAAGAACCAATGGATTTCCTCAAGGTCTATTGCACTGATGGATTCTCGTAAACTCATCCCATCAGGCTCTGAACACGATGAAGAGCGAAAACAAATCAGATCTAGGTTAAGAAAAAGTCTGAGAAACGACCGTGAGCAGTGGTGGGCAACGAAAGCAAAAGAGATGGAAAAGGCGGCGGCTATAGGGAACACAAGACAGCTCTACATATTAATAAAAGAAACTGGAATTACTAAATCAATTGTAAGTCAGACTATTTCAGAAAAAGACGACACCCTAATGGGTTGATGTCTGACGAAATCTCAGCACGGATTCGAAAAGCTTGCTTGGCTTTCGCCAACTTACGCCACCTATGGCGAAGGCGAGATATCCGTCTATCAATAAAAGGACGAGTATACTGCGCGGCAGTCTGTTCTGTTTTAATTTACGGCAGTTTTTTTTCCGTCGCTATAGGGATTGTCATTTTCACCCTTGTTTTTCCTCTCATCGTGGTTTGACATGAACTGAAGCAATTCGCCGGAAACACATATGTATGAGGCTTTTGTTTGATTTCTTTTTTTTGTCCATCTGCCTGGGAACATCATATATTGAAAGTGATTTAAGTAACTTACAAGTTAACACTTAGAAATCCTGACTTCAATTAGGTAGATATGATATAAAGGTTCGAACAGAACTGAAATGAACTAACCTGAGGACTTGTCGACAAATTATAATACGGTGAATACTCAGTAATCATATCTAGCATGTCAGAATTCTTTCTGTCTGAAGAATTACTAAGATTACGATGTATCTTACATAAATAATCAGATGGAATCTTTTTATTTACACGAAATGGCATATATTCTTGTCGACTATGATTAGCACCAGTGTTAGCATAACTATGTTCACGACGGCTAATACCATCACCAATGATAACAGTATTACTACATGTATTTGGATTTGGTAGACTAGCATGCCTTGAATGTAAGTAGATTTTGGATGATGCTGATATTGATGGCAATCTTGGTAAAATTAATGTTTGAGATTTGTTCCTAAACTTTCTCATTACATCATGTTCTTTCGAGTTATTATTATTATCATCACTAGTAGTTGTTGTTGTTGTAGAATTGTTTGATATAATTGAACTAGGTTTATCGATCATTTCTGGTAGATTTATATCTGATGACAATGATTTTTTCAACAGAACAGGTGGATTGTTACAATCATTGATATGTGCTAATTTTTGTTCTCCAAAAGATGGCGTTGAATCAACTTTTTCTAATGCTAATACTACAGGACCAACCCCGTCAATTTGTGTTTGCCCATTTACATTGGTCTTTTTATTAATTTCTGCCACATTGTTATTATTATTATTATCACTGTATTCGTTAGACAGTTGATGAGTGAAACAAACTGTAGGTGTTGTTGGCGTTGTCATTGATGGCAATGAACGCCTTACTGTACTACAACAACAATTATCGTTATCATTATTAGAAGTAGTATCATTCATCCCATTATTGACAGTAATTAAGTTATCATAAATTCGTTGATAACATACACTTTGTCCTTGTATGATATCACAATAAGATAATGAATTGTTATATAAAGGTGGTAAAGGTGCTTCAGGTAGATTAGATATTTCATCATCTTCATCAACTTTAACAATACACTCGTCGATATCAACAATTGTATCATTCTTTGTGTCTTTATCAAGACAATGTGAATGATGATTATTTGATCGATGAACAGAAAAACAACTACCACCACTACGTTGACAACATCCTCTACCGACATGATGACATTGATGAGTAATATTGCTTCTAGTAGCTGTAGCATCATCATCATCATTACAGTTAATTGGATTCATTGATGCAATATCAGTTAATTGTGGACAAGAGTATTTAAAACTATGTTGTAGTTTATTACAATGATCATTGTTTGTGTGATTATCATGTTGATTATTTTCATTATTACCAAAATGATTTGATGAATTCTGTAGTTGAAGCCAATGTAAACAATTTGATGATACACGATCATGATGTTCTTGTTTTTGTTGAATTTTTTTATTATTATTACTCATTAATTTTATAGTCTGATTTTGAAGAAGATCAATTTCTGTATCATCAAATGAAAAAGCTAAATTATTACGTTCTGTTAAAACTGGCGGATATGATCTATGATAATGATGAAATGTATCATGATTATCAATTATGTTTTTATGATCATTTCTTTCGTTGAATTGATTACGATCTATTTTTTCATTGATTGAATCATTTAATATAGGTGTAGTACTTAATGATATTGATGATTGTTTATGGAAAATTTTGTTAAATGGCATAATGAATGATAATTTTCCATTATTATTATTATTACTTCGTAGTAATGAACGACTTTCAGAAATAGATGTTGATAATTGATGAACGGATAGATTATCTCTATGTTGATGAACACATGTCTGTTTAACGAATGTATGATCAAAGAAAAACAGCAAACAATCATTAATACATCAATAAAACCAAATTTTTAATGAAATAACTTTATTAGGTAACAATGAAAAAGGGATTAGTGTAGCCTACCAGAAAGTGTTGTGGTGGTTTAGTAGTTAAGACGTTAGAATTTCAACAAACTAGGTCCAAGATTCAAATTCTAGTTCACTGACTCCGGTTTGGGCAACCAAGAAGTATCATTAATACTTACATTTAGCGTGTCGCTCATACCCAAATACCCGGTTAATGTGTTAATTTATTATTTAGCCACCAATGCTTAGAACAGGTTTTGAATGTCTACCGTTTAAAATATATAACAATAAACATGTGATAATAGTGTGGTCTACAGAAGAATTGTTAATCGTTGATTCTAAAGTTAATCAGTCAGCTACAACGTAGAACCTAGTACTTATACCTATGTGCATCGGTTCAAGTTGCCATACTCCATTAGCGCAGATGAGGTTGTCAAACCAAATCAAGAAAAAGTAGAGGTAGTAACAGTATCAGTAGTAATAGTAAACATTAGATATCGATGATACCAAATATAAATTAGTGAAACAAAAAAATAATATGAGGAATTTAGAATTTTCAAGAATGCAATGAATGGATGCACATGCGCGATTGTAAACCAATGGGGTTACGATAATTACGTGGACCTCAGGGTCGATATCATTTTCATGGTTGACTAACTCCTTCTCTACTTGTTCCTGAAATATATTCCTAAATTTTTCATCATTAAGTTGAAGTCTAAAAGGTTTTTAGCTGTGACTTTTCTACGTCCAGTATGACGAAAATAAATACGTGCTCGATAAAAGCATGATCTAAGTCTAAACAAGTGTTCCAGAATGAGTCGTTATATGTTCGCTGAGCTGCAATACCGTGAGATCTGCCTAAGTGCCTCTCGGTTTTATTTAGTTTGCCTAGGTAGGGACATCAATGTATGTCCCTATCCATCCTATTTCTATGGAAACCCTGGACAAAATTCAAGAAAGGAAGAACAAGAAAACGACAATTAACAACAGCCGAACACAAGCAGAGAAAGTCAATGCAAAACCTCAGTACACAGAAGCAAACAAGTAAGTGAAGAAGAGCATTTAAGCTGACAACCAGAAATACGAGGAACAACTAGCAACGACGGCAGAACATGCTCCAAGAGAACGAAACATGAAACAAAAATATATGATACAGCGAAGAAACTAGCAGGGAGGCAGGCCAGTCACTGAAATTCAACAACAGCGGAACAGATGGATAGAGTATTTTGAGGAACTTGTAAATAGACCAGCTCCAGTGAATCCAATGGACAACGAAGCAAGAAACACAGATATTTCCATAGCTGTCACTCCATCAACGATCGAAGAGATCAGGATAGCCATCAGACAAATCAAGAGTAGGAAAGCAGCACCACCTGACAATATACTAGCTGGATTTCTGAAGTCAGACACTGAAGTAACTTCAAAAATAATTCATGTTCTATTCGAGATTTGGGAGGAGGAACAAGTGCCGACGGACTGGAAAGAAGGACACATCATCAAGATACTAAAGAAAGGAAATCTGAGATAAGTGAGGAATACAGAAATATCACACTACTGTCAGTACCGGAAAACGTTTCCAACAGAATGCTGCTGAACCGCATAAAAGATGCAGCTAAGGATCCAGGAAAATGGCAACACTAGAATCAGACAGTAAGAGATAATTCTTGTAAGCCATACTAAATAAACAGTGACGACTGATTATGTCCTGTATTTGAGAGTGATTTCTGTAGTCATCGCATGATCAAGTGTGATAAATAGATCAGTAATTAAAAAGTTTTTCGATTGAATCATATCACTAAGCAGTTTATTTTCGAATATGTTTATAACAAAATAATGGCAGAAATTGTCTTTGGTTAAAAGTATTTATCCGAAGGATTCGATTAATATGAAAGTAGATTTAACAACTTTCGAGATCAACAGACTGGATTCCGTAAGGATCGGTCGTGCACAGACCAAATTACGACATTACAGATCATCATCGAACAATTAGTTGAATGGAACTCGTTACTATACATCAATTTTATTGAATATGAGAAGGCATTTGACAGTGTATATAGAACATTATGGAAACTCCTTCGACACTGTGGAGTTCCTGAGAAGGTTTTCACCATTATTCCGGTCTCATACGACGGACTACATTGTAAAGTCGTGCATAGAGGACAGCTGTATCCCAAGTAAGGACCGGAAACAGACAAGGCTGTCATGGAAGAACCACCAAGAATAGTAGACTTTAGTTGGTTTATTACGAAAACCAAACACGACTATCGCTTAGAAGCAGTGAATATGGTAGAAAATCACATGAATTACAGTACCATCTATGATACGCTATTGACCTTCAGGTTAAATTATCATATCAGTCATAACTGCTGATTGGGAAGTATTCATTATTAAATTTCAAGAAAATAAGAAAATTTAAATCCCGATCTTTAATAAATAATTACCTACTAGGTATATCCAACAAACTAATCGATTTTCTGAAATGTCTAAACGATATATATATAGACCTCTTTTTGTTTTCCCATCATCTTGTCGATACACCATCATGTGAGTCAGTGGAAAATAACAATAAAGTTTACTTCGGAGATAGTTATTTATGTGAATTAAAAATAAAACTAGACATAATGCACAAGTCACATGAATAGAATCATGGGCAATTTGTGTATGAAAAGAGGCATGCAAATTAGTGTAGTGACAAAAAGTAATTAACTAATAAAACTTTACACAAGTTATAAATCTTCTTCCTTATTTTCATACCCTACATATAATAGTGATAGTTATGTAAAAAAAATATCCTGACGATAGCACCACAGAGTAACTGATTATTTTTAAATGGCATAGATTTTCCCAATGAAATATCAGATGAAAGTTCAAATTCAACAATTTTTCATGAATCCATAGATTCAGTTTGGTGATATGAATTCCAATGGTTTCAACCGCATAGAACAGATTCAATATTAACTTATAACTAACTAATGGTGACAAATAAAGTAACGAATTTCCTCATTTGCATGTACGTTAAATTGTAAGCAAACGTTAACAATGAAGTAGAATAAAAATGAGAAGTACAGAGTCTATGACGAATATAAAGAACTAATTAGAATCGCAATTTTTGGTTTTTCTAGAAAGTTCAAATGGAAATTCTGCATAAAATTCATCATTATAAGTAGTTTTGTTTAGGATATTTTTACTGAATTATAAAATTACTTAAAATCTTTAAGAAAAAGTTTTTTGTAGAATCATATAGTCATAGTCATATGAATGTAAAAGCAAATTTATGTGTAAAGCTTCTTTTTTGCAATGTGGATTCTATCATTCGATTTATGTGATGGCCGGGATACAGTCCAGGTGCCAAAATCAAAGTAGGTTGTTTTTCTTAAGGGGCCACACCTGCAATTTTTGACCTGAAGGTCTAATCCACAAGGCAGTGAAGCATTGTAAGGAGATGCAGTCCCATGATAGCCGGTGACCAACAATCGGTTCATACATCATTTTTTCCTTCAGGATACTGAGCCTATGTGCACCATTGGTTTGGAATCAGAGTTTCCCAACTTTTCTAGGTGGACTCTCCATGTCCACCAACCCGGTTAAAGCGCCGGACATTCACTTTTTGTCCTATTGATTTCGTAAACAACAGTATTGCCACGAGAAGGCAATGAGTAGGACTTGCCTGTCAGTGGTTGTATGCACGTGACCCACTCTCGGCCGTACTAGGGCATTTGTGGGTTATGAGATTATAGTCTTAATTTATCAACCTTTTTCAGGAAACCTGCGCAAAAATCTTGTGAACGTTTCATGAAATCCCTTATGACATGATAAATAACCAAGATATACTACTGATGATCTATTGAATGAATAATTACCCTTAGTTAAGACAATCTAATTAATGATGATAAAAATCAACTATAGAAATGTTAGAAAATTCAATCATGTTAGTAATATCAGTAGAATAACTATTTCAATATGTAGCATTTACATTAAATCTAAAGAAAATTAAACAACTAATTGGTAGTATTCATGTATTATATCATAGTATTATAGTATTCACAATGATACATTGTATACTCCACCTCCATCCCCTATTAAATCAATAGATGACAATCTTGATTATAACATCTATCCTTGCATCTCCTTCTTTAATTGGAAAATAAATGTTTATTTCTTGTATAATTAAACGGATTATTTGCATACTACTTATTTAATGATTATTTTGTGTTGTTGTTTATTATTATTATTTATTTTCGGAATTTTTGACCTCTATTCTATAGATCGAAAGATTTTTTCATGCTAACATGCTACTTATTATTCTTATAATCATGATGAGAATGGTTTTTGAAAACAATATATATATGTCCTAGTGTAAATAAGGTTAATCAGCATCTTTTTTTCCCATTTGGTTTTGGAATTCTGTTTGTTGAATAACAAATAGAAACGATTAGCTGCTAGTTTTAATTGAAGTTAGGTAAAGGAGAAATTAAAGATAAGATAATTCCAATAATAATTGTTTCGACTTGACAGTTAATAACTAACCAATGTAAAGTTGATGTTATTTCAACTATTTTGTAAGCTTAAATATTAACTTCCAAATACTTTATTTATTTATTTGAACATATAAATATTGGTACGAACGGGCACCGAATACATATACACAACACAAGTCACATGATTTGTGTGTGGGCTGTGATACTCTCCGGGTGCCAAAACAGAAGCAGGTGATTTTCTTAGAGGGCAACACCCCGAGAATTTGACTTAAAGGTCTGACCCATGAGGCAGTGAAGTAACGTCACGAGATGCAGTCACATGATAGCCGATGACCAACGATTGCTTCATAAACCATTTGTTTCCTTTGAATCCTCGAGCCCATGTACAACATCGGTTTGCAATCAAGGTATTCCAACTCCCCTAGGTGGATCCTCCGTATGCACCAACTCGGTTAAACC